TCATAAATCTTTTATATATAACTATATGCTTTTGGTAAATTATTAGCCCGTAAGTATAAGCATATTATATTTATTTTGAAATTATTATGTGATGATTTTTAAATCAAGCATATTCATATAAATTTTAAAAAACGCTTCTTTTAAATTATTAGCGGGTAAGCATAAGCATTATTTTAATTCTAAAATTATTATTTAAATAAGGCCGTTCAAAGTTAATTAATTGGTTAACGTCATCCCCCACAACATATATTGAGCCAATCAAATTTTAGAATTCTAAATTTTTCAGATAGCGTAGGCATCTATGTAATTTTGGCCAGCATTAAGATAAAATTTATGATATAGGTACTTCCAAAAAGTTACGAAGTAGACTATGAACAAATATACAATCACGTTCATTTATTCTGTTCGTTTAAATCTCTCAGAAGTTAAAAATATTGATAAACTAACTAATTAACATTGAATGACCTAATGATAATTTAAATCTAACGATAAATATTTTAACAAATGCTTCTGCAAAATTATTAGATGGTAAGCATTACTTTATTATAATTATTTCTAAAATTATTATTTGATAATTTTTAAATCATGCATCTTTATATCTCACAATCTATATATTTCACAATCTATATTTTAACAAATATTTTTACTAAATTATTAGTGGGTAAGTAAAAAAATTTTTATCTTAATTATTTTCTAAAATTAAATTTTAAATTATACTTATAACTTTATAATTTATGCTTTGCTTTTATTGAAATATTAGAGTAAGAATTATTTTTAAAGTTTTTATTTGATAAATTTTAAATTATTTCATCCTTATATCTAATAATAATATTTTAAACGTTTTATTAAATTATTAGTGGAACCCTCCCATCGTAAGTATAAATTTTATCTTAATTATTTCTAAAGTTATTATTTGATAAAATTTTATAAATTCATTTGTTTTAGTGAGTGAAAAAAATTATCAATACTAGAGATAATCGGGTATCCAAGTCACCAAATTAACGGGTATATAGCCGCTTTTACCCAGTTAGAAAAAATATATATTTAACTTGATGTCCTATAAAACAGTAGTGAAGCTTTAAATTACATATTGTCCTTTATTAGTTATAAAAATTTTGGTTTAATAATCTTTAATATTTGCTAAAGACATCCCTAATCTTGAGATACTATTCTCTATTATTATTTGCACTTGAACTTGTTATATTTATGAAATTCTTTTTACTCTATAAAATTTAAATAATAGTTTCTTTTTATACCTTTTGCATTATTGTTCTTTGTTTATGCAATTTTATTAATAAAAACAATATAACACGTATTTATTTAAACTAAAAAATTTATAAAAATGCGATCAAAAAAACAAATCAGCAAAAAAATTACTACTGTCAGTATATTACAGCCATGTTATTGATGACTGTACTAAAAATTCTCATATTTGTATAGTTTATGTTATCACTGTTTTATCATCTTTTCTTTTTTTTCGGTCTTTAAAATAATCTAAATGAAAAAATTTTAATTGAAAAATATATAATATATATACTCGCTTAATTTAATTTTATAACGTAATTACGAATATAACATAGAAGTATAGTTATCGATAACTACTATACGTTAACTATATAATAGAACACAAATTCTAGTTAATTAAAAATAATAATCTTAGGTTATGGAAGACTCGACACCTTTTTTTTTTTTTTTTTTTTTTTTGTGGAAACGTAAAGTCAGTTGGGTGAATTTGCAAGCAATACGTATAATAATAATAATATTAGGAAATATTTAGTACAACATTTATATATTTAATGCCAAGAATAAGTAAAAATAAACTTTTTAATGGTAAAAAGAATTAATTTTTTTTAATGTTTGATAATACATTATTTAATTTGACAATGAATTCACATTGATAGTGATCACAATAATTTATCATAATTATTTAAAGATTTAAAATAATATGAATGAATAGTTATTTATAATTATATTACTGTTGTAAGCATTATCCTTTTGTATAACCAATAAGCGGAAATCATCCCCGATCATTGTGTAAAGATCACAGGGAATACAAATAAAATTAGACCAATATTTTAAAAGAATAAAAACTTTAAATTTAATTAAATTCATTCGTGTGTAAAAAGATAGATAATTCTTGATACGAGTATTTTATATGTTTAAAAATGCTAATAATCGTAATTTCGAAACTATATATATAAAGTAATTAATTATACGTACGCTTAGACAAATTACATATCTGATATCGAAGAATACGTATTAGGTATGTAATAAATGATATGCGTCGTTTGTGAGACTCAATTTAACGATATTATTTCATCGGAATTCATATCGATATCAAATCCTAATCTGTAGAATTTCAATATTCAAAGTAAAATTATTTAGTTTATAAAATATTTATATAAATATTTATTCATTAAAGTTTTTAAGTGTAAGGTTTTTCAAATAAATATAATTAGCTCGTTTTGTACCGAAATTGAAAATTATTGATACGTATAGCGTTATCGTGAATAAAATCAAAATCTTATAATTTATTAATTAACCAATTAAATCTCAATTATCTAACCATGGAGGAAATAGGGATGCGGGATCTTATATAATAAAGTTTTAAAGTAAACGGAAATATTAGTAAGAAAAAAAAAACAAAAATGTGTTAATATCGATATATGCATCGATAAATATTTAATGTAAATATGATGATAAATTTATAAAACTTGCATTTATAAAAAAATAGATTTCTAATCATAAAACAATGATGCAGAAAAAACAAAACAAATTTACGGTATAATGTAAATACAAATTCAGGATATCGCGATCATTACAGTTCGGGAGGTTGCATGGCAGTTCCAGAAATTGCAATAAAAGTTGCAATAGAAGTTGCTATAGAAGAAGTTTTAAAAATGTGGCACAGATATTAATTGCGTTGGGGGCAAAGTTGCATGCTTTATTTTAAAAGTTGACATTGCTTTTAAAATAGATGTTTGTAAAGTACTGAGGTATGAATCTTGTGGATTTATTATCGTCATACAAAAAGGAATTTCTACAAATTATTGCGGGAGTTCCGACTATTTTCTAAATAAAGTAATTTAGTATTGGAAAATTAACGCATTTGAAGTGATAGAATTTACACTTTTTCTAAACTATGCTTCATTCTAATTTGTAATAAACAAACTGTATTATGTATTTAATCATTTAAGATTTCTTGGCATATTAAAATAAAAAAATTAAAGTCATGAATAAAAAAGATTAAAACCGTGAAAATAAACAATATGTAATGATTCCTGTAAGAGTTAATTAACAATTAAATATCGATGTGGCAAAGAAATAGAATTATATTGTTGCATATATGAATATATGACTATTGAAATATATCGTTACCGAAATATTGCTACGGAAAATAAATCATTACTGGAATGATAAATTATGAATCAAGGGATAAACCAAACAATTTGTTCTACGCACGTACTAGTACATATGTACGACTTAAAATTATTTCATTATACGTAGATTATTACACCAATTTCGTCATTAATTGAATGAGACTAAAATATACCCAATTAATGAAATCTAAATAGTGGTAGAATCACATGCCCGTATATTTTTTTAAAAAACACCGTGCGTATATGCTTATCCGTAAGCAACCGAAACAATTGTGAACTGTACCGATTGACTTTGACGGAAAATCCGAGATCGAAACAACCTATGCTTAGTAATTCTTTCGTAAATCATGTCGTCATTCGTTCACCATACATTCGTTATTAATTAATTAATTTACGTATTATAAAAAAGATTATCACAGATTATTCGCATATATTAAATAATTCGACAATAACCTACATAACAAACATACATACATAAATATTCGGGTAATAAATCCTATATCTGACATTGCTGCATTGATATTAGCTATCGTTATACGTTACCGTCCATTATATTATCAAAAAAAATATATATATATAACTTATATATATTATTCATATAAATTAGTGAACAAAACCATTACTTTAAAAGCTGTAAAGATTATTTAATGAATTCTAACCTTTATAACCATTATGAAAACATCCGGGAGTTTCGGATAAATTTAAACCATCATAATAATGATTGGTACATTTTTTTGATTCGATCTTAAATATAAATCGATTAGAAATTTTGTAATTGACAATTATTCCTTTTCGGATAAATTTTAATTGGTCTGAATTAATCGTAACTTTATTGAAAACTAAATGTCCCTGGATTAAGGAGATACACTTTTGATATTTTAAGATGCTTGTTACCAATAATTTTCTTTTACTGTATTCAAATTAGGTAATTACATAGTATACGTATAAAATAATTTATTTTACTAATATATTATTTATTATACGTATACACAAAATAATTTATTTACTTTAAAACGCATATACAAAATAATCTATTTTTACTACGTAATATATTATTTATTACTTTAAACGTGCATATACAAAAAATTTTAGTTCACGAATCTATAAATTAGCAACTTTTTTCTGTTTACAAAGCAATAAAAATTAACAAACAAATTTTAATCAAATTTTTAATCAAATTTTTTTAATCAAATTTTTTAAAATCTTTTTTCATCTTTTTCTAAAGATTTACACCCCTACTCATTCAATTTAATAAATATTCATTCTCGAAAAAAAAAAAAAAAAATCATTCTCAATGGGAAACATTAAATCGAAAAAGGCTAATAATCATAATCATAATCATAATCATAATAATGATAATTTATTCAATAAATCTTTAAATTTGAATGAAATTGATAGTTTACAAGTTCTACATCATGTTTGCCGTTCTATATGGGGTGGAAATTTCTTATCTCCTATCACGCATCTTTTAAAATCTAACTATGGTGCCAAAGTATTAGATGTTGGGTAAGAATCTTAATATGATAAAAAATATATATTTGTAACATAATAATAATAATAATAATAATAATAATTATATTTTTCTTTGAAAGTTGTGGTCCAGGTACTTGGACATGTGAAATGTCATCGGATTTTAAAACATCTAACTTTATAGGAATAGAAATGCTTCCAATGTTTCCTGATCAAAAACCAAATAATGTAAAATTTATTTTACATGAAGACTTTACTTCCTGTTTTCCATTTAAAGATGATACTTTTGATTTTATTCATATGAGATTTTGTTGGAGTTATTTTACTTTTGATCAATGGAGAACAATTGTCTTAAAAGAATTTATAAGATTATTGAAACCAGGTGGATGGTTAGAAGTATGTTTTTTTATTAATTCTTTTTAATATGTAATGATATAATTTTTTAATATTGTAAATATTTAATTAATGTGATTATTTTCAATCTATTTTTTTATTTTAGATAGCTGATATATCAATTGACGGTGAAAATTTAGGTCCTATAACTACGGAATTTGTTACAGATTGTAAGTTTAATTTTTTATTTTTATTTTTTTTTATATGACGATAACGATGATATTAATTTATAATAATTCTAAATAATTAATATACTAGTAAAAGAAAGTGCTTATCAAAAAAACCTCGACCCAATGATACCATATCAACTACCAACCATACTAAGTTCCATGCCAAATCTATCCTCAAATGTATATTATGAAGTAAGAAAAATTCCATGTGGTTCATGGGGTGGAAGGGTTGGTCAACATCATGAAGAAGCTATAACAGATATTCTTTTAAAATGTACTGAATATTTATCACCTAAAAATTCTCAAAATATGGTGGAACAAATTTTAAAAGAATTTAAAGAATATCGTACTTATTCTTATTGTCATAGGGTATACATACAAAAATTGGAAATGTAAATATTTTAGTCTTTTAATTTTATTTATTTTATTTTATTTTATTTTTTTTGAAAAATTTCAATTAAAGAGCAAAAAAAAAAAAAATTCGAAAAAAAAACTCGAAAAAAAAAACAAAAAAAAAATTAATAAGCTATTAAGCATAAATTCATACGTATTGAATTTCGATAATTACATACGTAGTACGTAAAGTGAATGAAGAAATATTAATTTTTTTTGTCTATTTTTCGTATGTTTAAAAATAAAAAATTCGAGATTTTTATTTTATCTGCATCATTTGCATATACATACATATAAACAAATTTAATACACGATAAAAATAAATTGATAAACAACGAATTCACGCTAAGGAATATATTATTTGAAAAAAAAATTATCATAACAAAGAAATAATAATCTTTACAAGGATTTACTCAATAGAGCTGCTTACTGCATTTGTGTACGTAAAAATTTTTCTTTCTTAATTAATATTTGCTAGCATTAATTAGGTTTAAAGCTAATTACGTATTGATATTATTGTTGTGAATAATTATTTCTAAAAAAAAACTGATACAATTTGTTAATAAAATGCAATATAATACATATAATTATCCTATATATATTACTTAATGCTACGTACGTTTAATTAAATTATAATATTAACTAAAATGCTAAATAGCATCATACTACAGACTATCAATAATTCATTACAATTTCGTCCTACACTGTTGCTGCTATTTTTTACATTGGTTGCAGCAGTAGGTGCAGTAGTAGCACGAATGGAATCACTCTGCGTTTTTGATAATGGTTTCTGTGTTGTTGACATAGTATTAGTTATATTTGGCGGGATTGATGACGCAGTTGCTGAGCTGATTGTGGATACGGGTGTAGGATATCTGGTTAGACTTTGGCTGGTACCGAGCGCACAGATTTGAGCTACAGAAGGCTATGTTTTATATCAATAAAAAAAAAAAAAAGAATATTAAACTTATGATCTGTCGGATAACTAGTTTATCCGGCAAGTATGACATATTACACCGCAGGTTTTATAACATTGTCACATGATTTTAATAATAACTATGCGGCAGTAATGTGAAAATTGTTCCGTCAGTGATTACCTGCCGGATAATACCAAAGTAATATTTAAATTATAAAATACTTCGTAAGCTTTTCCTTCATTTGTGATAGATATATCATCGGTACATTGTAAGAAACAAAGTTGAATTGCTATTTATAGTATTAAAAAATGTATGAAAACTCATTAGAAATTATCGTATTTCTTTGATTACAAGATTCCTATAATTACCTTTAAGGGCATCACATTGACAAATGAAATCCAATGGTGCGCATTTCGATTTCATGTATTCACCACGTTGTCTACATTCTTGGTATACATATAGGTTAACACAAGCCGATTCGACAGATGGGAGTAATATGTAAAAGATTATCGTTAGTGAGATGTATAAGAGAGCTATGATGCGCATTTTTTTTTTTTAAATTAAATTAATTTAATTTAATTATTTATTCTTTTGGGAAGAAATAAAGTTTTTTTTTTTTTTCTAGGTGAAAAATTGAAAAAATATCAAAGGATGGGTTATATTCTTTTCTATAAGATGATTTGACACGATCGTGAGACTTAAATAAGTTTTTTTTTACTCTCGCAAATTAAATACTATTAAATCAGATTTTATTTTATTGCAGGCTAACAAATCTTACTCTGTTTCTTTTTTTTCTCCTTTGATATCATAATTTATTTATAGATTTAGGGCTTCAAACTTTGGCGCAAAAAGACGGAGCATGACATGATTAATTAGCGGCAAATTCTAAAAAAAAAAAAAAAGAGATTAAATATTTATTATTATTTTATCGATCATTTTGTCTGTTATTTTTCGAAATGAAAAATTTAACATACTTTTCATCAAAGCAAAAATTATTTAGAGTCACATGTTATACAATTTTATCGTAGCCAATAATTTTTCCTGGATTAGTTGATACACCGATCAGATTACTTTTAAAGGAAGGGCTGTCGATAATAATGGAACATCCACCCAAGACATAGGTTGGAGTATTATATTGTACGCTGGCGTCTCATCTCTTTTATTATTGCACACGATCGATCTGTGAAAATTTTCTTTATAAATAAAAAAAAAAAAAAAAAAATACTTAACGATATAATAGCAATATACACAGTATATTACAATTTATATTTAAATATATACTGTAGATAAACGTTTATTTTATAATATATAAAAATCATATTTATCTGGTGACTAGAGTATTTATTAAACGCGTCATCATTCAGGTAGAAATAATTTTTTTGTCACCTGCTTTCCATTGAACACACTTATAGTAGGTTTAATGGTTAACAGTTAGGATGAAGATTTAAGTATTATATCATTAACGCTTTGCCATTGAAATTACTAATATGACTATTAAAATGTCGGAATAAACGTTAACGCGTGCGTGTTAAATTAAATTATTAAAAAATTCGGGTTTAAAATATTTATCTCTAAAATTATACAATGAAATACACGAATGGGATATCGCCCTGCTGCTTTACGTGGTTACGTGGTTCCAGTTGTTTCTTTTCTTTTCTCTTTTTATTACTCCTATCCCTATATTTTACTACCTCTACATGATGTCCGGTTTGTTCGGCTGGGCTATCCTGCTACTATTTGGCATTCAACTTGTCCAATCGGGCTACCACATTTTACACATTTTACCTGCCTGAAAATTAGGTGGGTTGAAGGGATTAACGAAAAGCTAAACTTGCGTCGAGCTTCAGCAAAGACAAAAGAGGGGTAACAAAAATCCATTTCCTTATAACCTTTTCCCATGACTTCACACACAAATATCATAACGTAATTCCATATCTCTTACTATCTTGATATACTGTTAAAAAATGCTTTTACTAAATTACACTTAATCAACGTCACGTCACTGATCTAGGTGACAAATACTTCGTTCACGGCATAATTAATTCGCTTGGCAATAAACTGCACGTGCATTTTTGTAATATTTAATTACGTTTTTTCAATATAAGAAGGTTTTTGTCTAAACTCGGCGACTTTCTTATATCAAGAAATCACTTGTATATATTTTTGATTAAATTGTAATATATAACTTATTGTATGTGCATAAATTTAAAATAGAAATTTTAAAATGGGTGATGAGACCACGGCAAGTAATCGGAATTATGACAATTTGGGATTATATTAAACAATTGCATTTAAAATTTACATCAAAAGTATTACGTATTATATTTCGTAATTTTATTAATTTGGGACTTATTACGGCAAAGCGAAAGTCTCAAACTAGTTTTGCCAGTTTGGAATACAGCAAGTGCCAAAACTACCAAGTTTGGGTCTCATCACTAGTCGGAGGGCTTAATTTTGAAAAATTACTAATAAATTTGTGCCTAGTTAATTAAATTTGGTGACCAAATATTAGCTAAATTTCGCAAACGCACACGCCGTAAATGAATATTTAAACATTGAATTATTATAATAATTATTCGAACTAAATTATAGTTTATTCGAATTTTACAAATTTCTTATAATTTGAAAAAAAAAACCAATAAAATTTTGAAAATTTATTATAATTTTTATAATACAATAAATCGAATAAAAAAAATTATATTATTTAAAAGCTCTTTTTTTTTTTTTTTTGTAAAATTATGTAATTTATTCTAAATAAAATAATTGAAATTGTGCAGATTTGTTATTTGTTAATAAAAAAAAAAAAAAAAATTCATTAAATATATTAATTAATATTGGCATTTGTATTATCAGTTATATCAGGGACAATACCAACTTTATCCCATTTTAAAACATCAAGATCATATTGTTCTAAAGGCCTTTCTTCACCTTTATCATTAATTCTTATACCTTTGAATAATGATTTTTCAACTAACGAATCATTTTCTACTAGAGAAACATATTTTATAAAATTACAAGTTCTATGAAATGATGCTTGTGCTTGTTCAATGAAAGGAAACCTCTATAATCACCAAATTAAAAAAAAAAAAAAAATTTAATATAAATAACGAATGAATGAATGAATGTACGTATATTTCAAAAATATAACTTATATATATATATATATATATATTGATAAAATTACCTGCCAACCATGAGGCATATCATCATAAACTTCTAATATAACACTTGTTGGTTTTTGAAATGGAGATTTATCAAAGTTTGATGTAGAATATTTTGGAACTCTAAATTTATGTGGTTGAGTTGCTTTATAACCAAAAAGTACAACTTCATTATGTATTCTTTCAACTTCTCCCACTTGCTGTTAAATTTAATATATAATGGTTATATAAGATTAAAAAAAAAATGAAAGTATTATATAATATTAAAAGAATTAATTACCAATAACATTGGAGGCATTTCACCCAAACTTTCAGCCAATAATGGACTAAAAAACAACAACACATATTTAACATAAGTGAAATTTTATCAAACGAACTGTCAAACGAATATAATAATAAATTTGAAAAATAAATTCACCTAACATAGGGGATAGCCAAAGCTTCATTATTACAATACATTTGAATTTGTTCATCTCTTTGAAAAGATTCATCACCAACGATTAAAGGTTTCTTTTTTTTAATTTGATCAGCAAGTTTTTGAGAATCTTTTTGATATTGCTCCCAGGCAGGAGATGAAACTTTTGGTTTAGGTCTAAACATAGTCATTGGGCAGAGTAAATCGAGACCTACAAGATTTGGATCTAATGAAGATGGCATGCTATGTGTAAGATCAACCCAAGGTGACTATAAAAATAAAAAATTTTTTTTAAAAAAATTTTTTTAAAATATTAAAGTAAATAAATAATATAATATAAAATAAACGTCAAAAATAGATTGCAAAAATATATAGCAAAATATATAGCAAAAATAAGTAGTAAAAGAAAAAAAAATACAGTAAAAAAAAAAAAAAAGATTATAATGCAATACCCATCCTACAATTCCACAAGGTAATGGCAATCCAGCATCACGAAGAAACAAAGTCATTGCCATAGCCAATCCACCACCTGCACAATATTAAAGATTGTAATATAAACTATGGTTTTTTTTTTTTTTAAATCGTATGTTATTATAGGGATAAGGGGGGGTTTACATTATGAAGATAGAATCATAATTGTTTTTTTTTTTTTCGAATCACGGAAATATTTCATAATAGTACTAGTAGTAAATAAAATCACCTGCACTTTCACCCATAATAACAATTCTTTTAGGGTCAATGGGATCAAACCCGGCATTTTCTTCAGGGTTTATTAGGTACAAGTAGGCAGCGATAACATCACAAAGAGCAGCAGGGAATTGATATTGTGGTGCTAGTCTATAATCAACCCCTAATAAATTTTTTTTACGTAAATTAAAAAATAAATCAGTTTGAAAAAAATTATTTAATTTTGAAATTATATAAATAATTTTAGTTTAAATAGGTTTAATTATAATATTTTTTTAACATACCAAAAACTTTAGCTTTACATATTTTAGCAATTTCAATGGCAAGTGATCTAATCATTTTAGTTCCACCCATACAATAATAACCACCATGTAAAAGTAAAATAATGGGATGTTTATTTGGTATATCATTTAAACATACCCATTCACCAGTTAATTCTTGACCATTTGTATCTTTCCATTTTGGATCTAAAACATCATCATATTTGACCAAATGTTTTTCAAGATGAATTTGAGCCATTGCACGATAATTATCAGATAATTCTAAATCTTCTTGTATAGAAATATCAGGAGGAGGAGTAATTTTTATTGAATTACTTTTTAATTGAACTTCTTCGATTGGTTTATCAAAAGTTGCAAATAACATGGATTTTATTAGGTTAAAACCCATATGAAATTTATAATTCCAAGTTGGACGAGGTCTGCCTTTGACCATATGATTAACACTCGTTGAAAGGACTGTCGGAATTGATTGTAATAAAGACATTTTTGTTAAAGAGATAAATTAATGTAGTAATAAAGAAGGATTGGGGAGAAAAAAAAAAAAAAAAAAGTAAATGCAGGGAGAGTAATGATCGCAGAGAAAAGATCCACGAATTTCGCATATACATATATATATAGGCATGTAATTTAGAACCCCTTATCTGTTATCGTTATGTACCTCATTAGTACGCACTGTACGTATGTAACCTCCATTATCAGATACCGATACATAGCTTTAGGGAATAGCTACTTCGGGATCGGAATCAATTTCCAATTTAGTCTAGACACATGATGTATTATCAATATAAAAGAGCAAAAAAAAAAAAAAAACTTATTGTAGTGATAACAGCAATTAACGAAAGAGGAATTTAGGGTTAATGATCATCGTAGCGTGATCAGATTTTTCAGAGGTACAAAAAAAAACCGGATCTTTTATCGATATCAGATATGTTTCGCGAACGTACATACATACTGTACTTACATACTTGCGTACGTTCGTACAAGAAGAGAAAATTTCCGAGTAGATCACTACTTTCTCGAAGATGACGAGTTCTTTGGTCTGTGCGCATATTAACATTAATTGACCCGTGTGAAAAGAACAATGTATCACACAACAAATTTTCATATTTTTTTGCTTCTACGTATGTAGAAAAAACATGTGATGATCGAGAAATTGCTTGCTGCTTACGTGATAATCGAGAAGCGTGATTATTTTTTCGGTAAATTTACAAAAATAAGCCGAGTATGTTGAAGCAGAATTTTCAATAATCTAACTTTGAAAGGTTTCTTAGAATTTGAAACGGTTTCAGATGGTTTCTATTGCAATATTTGGCGCAAGACAATATTATTTAAAATGGTAAGTTTACAAACAAAGAAAATGTACATGTAAAGCGCATGTCATGTTTTAAAAAAGTCTACGGAGGTGACAACTTTTCGTTTGACTTATTCAAACATACAGTATATCGATATGAAATGTGTAAAATTTAAATTATTGTAAATCTTTACGATTTTTTTTTGAACTAAACAGAGTACTTGACTAAAGAAAATTTTAAACAGACTCGAATTAAACAGGGGATCTTTTTTTTTTTTTTTTATTAATTTTTACACCTTTGTTACATTCCTTTTTTTTTTTTTATTTTTTTTTTATTTTTTCCTACAAAGAAATAAAAGAAATACAAGTATAAATACAAAAAAAAACCCACAGTATACGTAATATATTTCAATTACCGAGTTACCGTAATAAATCGAATTATAAAAAAAGTTTATAATTCAAGTTATATAAAACATTAATGTTTTAAATCATATAAAAGATTGTTTGTAATTTAAATCATTAATAAAATGAGTAGTATCATTTGTTTTGGTTTGCAAAGAAGAATTTGACATTGTTGAGGTATCACTTCCACGTCTTGATTGACTTATATGAGCAGATTCGGGTATCAATGAGTTTTTACTACCCATTAACCTAACAGAGTCCATTCCGACACTTTGAGAATTATTGATTATTCCGCCTCTACCAGATTTAATTCGTTTAGTTTGATATTCATTATCATTATTAACAGCTTTACAATTATCATCAGCACCAGTTACCATATTAGCCCATTCAAAAAATGATAATCTTTGCATTGATACTACAACAATTTTTCCTTTATCAAGTTGAAAAGAACCAGTTTGTCGTTGCCCCAACATGGATTCTCGTATCCATGCGGATGGTGGTGTATATTGTGATCGACGATTAAAAGGTTTAATAATTCTTTGATATTTTGAAATTGATCTAGTCGGTGATGAAGGTGAAGGAGGGACGTCCCGCGTTCCTGCTATGAACTGATCAATGTTATTATCATTGAAATTACTGTAACTATTATTGTTATAACTATTACTATTATTACTATTACTATTATTATTATTATTATTATCATCTTCAATTAATATACTATTAAGCCATTCTATATTTGGAGGATTTTCACTACTGCCTTCAATAACTTTAACGATTTCAGCATCAACAGTTATCAAGTAAGATTGAGTAATAGTCACAAAACACATGGCAGCATTCAATAAAGAAGAGTTAATTGAAGTATTTTCCACAGCCATGATAACAGTTATAGCATTATATAAAAAATCTATGGTCAATCTTAAAAAATTCCAGTACAAAACGGCAGTGAATAATGTTCTTTTCGATGTAGGTTTTCTACCAATTATCGAGTTAACTTCTGCTGCACTTCGATTTCCCTCGGTTAATATTTGAACCAGACGAATAGTTACGAATGAATCTATGATAAAATCAATTCCCACAAAACTTAAATAAATTGGTAGTGCACCAACTTGATGTTCTGAATCGCATGTTGGGTAGGAATTTTCTGAGGTTGTTATTAATTGTGGATTTTGATATCCAAAGAACGCGAGCTTTTGTTCAAAAAATTAATATAATTGTAAATAAAAAAAAAAAAAACGTGAAAATTATAAAATAAGTTTATATAACAAGTTTATAACAAGCTTACGTTTAATAAAGTTCTAGTGATAAACAATCCAAAACTGATCCATCGATCCCAGACAGAGTACTCGATCTGTTTTAATCTCCACAACAAAAAGCCCATCAAAGCTTGTCGATAAAAAAAATTTGCTAAAGCTTGTAAATACGTTAAAGCCGAGCATTGAGTAAGTGAGATATTTTGTGAAACCATTAACGAAGAATAATTAATCACTGATCTTGCTATTCCACTAAAATTGAATACTATTTTTAAAATATTTGACACATTTGCATGACCTGCTCGATATAGTAATACGGAAACGAAGAAATTATGTAAATATGCCTATATACAAATAATCAAGCGAAATAGATTATTAACATTAATGTTAATATTAATGATTACCCTTATAAAAATTTTATTTTCGAGGATTACTTACCATTGCCGCAAGGCCTGATAAAAATGAAGAAAATAATTCTAATTGTCCTAACATTTTTCCTTTTTGTCCCTACTACTAAATCTGAAAAAATTGTTTTTTTTTTTTAACCAAAAAAAAAAAAAAAGTTTTTTTAAAATAATTTTTTTTTTTTTATATATTTTTTTTTTTTCTCTTTGATTTTTTATATTATTTGTTTTTTTCATTATTTAGTTAGAATACAAATTCTTTAGCTCAGGAAGCTA